AAAGTGAAAAATCTTTCCTCTCCGGCCCTTTGTGGGGAAAGTTTGTCAACCCCTGAACTAGAAGAGCTCTCAGGAAAGGCTTTGAAATTTATTCACAGTAAGAAATAAATTATTAGTGAAAGTTCCTAAAATACGCTTTAAAAAATGAAACAGGTAAGACAAAGCATCAAATTAAAATGAGAAATGAACGAACAAGAAAGAGGAAGAGACACAAATAGTCATGTTCACGTATATTATGTGCCAGATCATCAGATAAGCACTTCTTTCAATAAAATTATTTCCTCTCCCTCTAACAAGGCCATCAGACAGGTGTCACTATTTTTTTAAATCATTTTTAAAAATTAAAATTACTTAATTTTTAATGCTGTGTTACCTCATGTGTACAGGATAATGATTCACATATATATTCTATATATATTATTTTCAGGTTCTTTTCCACTATAGGTTAGTGAAAGATACTGAACATAGTTCCCTGTGCTATATATTAGGTCTCTGTTGATTATCTATTTTATATATAGTGCTGTGTATATGTAGATCCCAAACTCAATTTATCCCTCCTCCCCCTTTTTTCCTTTGGTAACCATAAATTTTTTTTCTCCTATGTCTGTGAGTCTATTTCTGTTTTGTAAATGAATTCATTTGTATCATTTTTAAATTGGATGACAACTATAAGTAATACCATATGATATTTGTCTTTGTATGCTTTCTTCAGTTAGTGTGATAATCTCTAGGCTTATTCATGTTGCTGCAAATGGCAGTTTCATTCCTTTTAGTGGCTGAGTAGTATTCCATTGTATATTTGTACCACATCTTTTTTTCCATTCATCTGTCAGTGGACATCTAGTTTTCATCCTTGTCCTGGCTATTGTAAACACTGGAGTGTGTGTATTTCTTTCTCATTTTATAGATGAGGAGTCTAAATTCAGAGGCTGAATAATGTTCCCTGGGTCACAAAGCCAGCATAAGACAAAGTCAGGATTTGATGCTACAGTAATTTAGCTTGTAAACTGCATCCTCAACTGTAACATTAGAATTTCAGGCACTAATGAGCAGGTCATGTTGGGCATGTATAAGGGGGAAAAGGATCTACCCTCTGCCCCTGAGATCACAGTTTCTCCAGGGCAGGAAGATGAAGAAATGAGAACCCATGAAGTTGGCCCAGGTGTGAAAGGAAGTACATCTCCCGCCCACATCATGATGTGAGCCTCTGGGCACAGAATCAATGCTGGGCAGCTTGTTCAAACATTACAGCTGCAGATCATCCCCTGGAGCTGGTCTTCAGGTGTGAACGAGACCTCCAAAATAGATGAGCACATGACGATTTTATTAACCCAGGAGCTGACGACTTCATGATTGGCAAATGAGGGGTGCAATTTTGGGGAGAGAATGAACAATCAAAAAAAACTTGCCATAGGATGATAAACAAATAGGAACTCCCTAAGGGATATAGCAACAGTGGTCAAACAGACATGTTAGTTGTTAAAGGAAAAATAAAGAGACTGTGGATTGGACAGGAATTGGGAGTCTGGCCTTTAGGCAGGGAATCGGATCCAGCAGAGAGTCTCAGCTTTGGAGGAAGAGGGTCAGAATAATGAGTCACACAAAGCCAGACAGCTATGGAGCTGTCCATCAGGGTAACCCCATGTCTGCATTGCTGGCTGGGCAGTGACAGTGGGTCTTTTGGTTATGTGAGCTCTGGGTTGGCTCCAGGGGGCGGCTGTGAACCTGGCCCACTGAGGGTGGTGGTACCAGCTGGCTCCACTATGAAGGTAGGTGCCTGCGTCAGCTCCACAGCCTGGGGGAATTGTCCCAGAAGTTCCTGGACCACTGTATCACACTATTTCCAAAGCACATAGGAGATGGGGGTGGGGGTCAGGAAAGTCCAGTGGCTCAACTAAAAAGCCACAGAGAAGCTTTATTCTCTGGGGAGCCCCTCTCCCCACGCTTGACTTGCAAAGCACATGCACTTTCCACGATTCTGTCTAAAATGAAGTGTTTAGACTCAGCTGTCAAGAAAGTGTTCTTTTAAAAAATGTTTGGCGGTCCACTGAGTGAGGAGGAGTAACTATAGATAGACATCTGCTCTCACACTGGCAGTGGCGTGAGGGGACGACAAAATTTCAGCAACAACAACTGAAACATTACAAAGAGGATCTCTATTTCCCCAACTCTGTTGGTATCTGCAGGACATGTACAGGTGACCCAATGAAAAAAAAAGATAGACATTTAAATCAGTTTGGGAAAAGCTGTGTTACATAATTGCAAACAGGTTCATTTAGTGCAGGATTTCTCAGAACTTTTAAAATGCTTTTTGTAGGCTGGGAATCTCTCAAAGGCAAATGGACATTGTCCCAAATGTACCTGATGGTGGAGCACCCCCGCCCCCTCCCAGACATTGTCATGTCACTCATGGGAGCAGCATTGGGGGAACATTTGGGAAAACACCGGCCTACCCTTGTGGCTCAGAAGATAAAGAATCCGCCTACAATGCAGGAGACCGGGGCTCGATCTCTGAGTCCGGAAGATCCCCTGGAGAAGGAAACCCATTCCAGTGTTCCTGCCTGGGAAATCCCAGGGACAAAGGAGCCTGGTAGGCTACAGTCCAAGAGGTTGCAAATGGTCAGATACTATTGAGTAACTAACACTTTCACTTTCACACTTAAGAAAATACCAGCCTAAGCATACCCTGAAATTCCAGCAAGACTAAAACAGTCATAGTTTCATCCTGTTTGGAGGAGATTGCAAATTTGTGCTTATGGCAGGAGCTTTGTAAGTGAGCCCTCAGCACTGGCTAACTTGGGAGAGAAAACAGGTTTTCATGCTCGGGCCATTCTATACAGAGTCCTTTTGCCTGAGTGAGAACCTGCAGTCATAATGAATTCATCACAGGAAACGAGCCAGTCAACACACAGGCATTCCAGGGAGCACAGTGATTAGGAAGCTGGGGAATCACCTGACTGGGTCTTGCGTCTGAAGAGTTATTTCTCATGTTTTCTTTTTTTTTTTTTAATTTTTTAATTCAATTCAGTTCAGTTCAGTTGCTCAGTCCTGTCTGACTCTTAGCAACCCCATGGATTGCAGCAGGCCAGGCTTTCCTGTCCATCACCAACTCCCAGAGCCTACTCAAACTCATGTCCATTGCATCGGTGATACCATCCAACCATCTCATCCTCTGTCATTTCCTTCTCCCCACACCTTCAATCTTTCCCAGCATCAAGGTATTTACTTTGATTTATTTGTTTTTGACTGCACTGGGTCTTCATTGCTGAGCATGGACTTCCTCTAGTTGCAGTGAATGGGGACTCTTATTGCAGTGGCTTCTCTTGTTGAGGTTCATGGGCTCAGTAGTTGTGGTGCACTGGCTTAGTTGCTCAATGTTATGTGGGATCTTCCTGGACCAGGGATCAAACCCACGTCCCCTGCATTGTCAGGTAGATTCTTATGTACCCCTAGGGAAGTCCCACTTCTCTCATTTTCAGTTTCCTTGGAAAGCTTGGAGGATTTTTCTAGGCACAGATTTGTTATACTGACCTCTCCATCAGAGCACTTAGTCAAACCCCCGACCACTTGTATTCTCTGAAAACCTTGAGCTCAATTACCCAAGACAAAACCAGAGGGTCCCTCGGGCCAAAAGGCACCAAGCAACACCATGACCATAGCAAAACCTCTGTCTCCAAAGACTGGGCTTCCCTTGAGTTTGAGGAGTGATGCTCCTTTTTGTGTCTCTGATCTGCCCAGACAGTGCTTCAGCCACTTTGCTTCTGGGTCTTCTGAGACCCTTCCTGGGCCACAGTTCATTGTCTATTCTAATCAAACCCTTCTTGGCTTCACTTTACACATTTACATCATCAGCTTTCAACATCAATTGTATACAAGCCATCTTTTCCCAGATCTCCTCTTATTTTTGCTTGTTTGGACCACTTCCACAATTCATTGATTCCTTTTTGTTCATTATCTTTCAGTTAAAATACCAATATTTGTTTAATGCCCCTGCCTTTGGGCCTCTTAATCTGACAATTTTCTCCAATCTTCCTATGGCTTCTAATACATTTGGGGAATTTTCTAATCCTCATTTCAGGATTTTATCTCTCTAGATAAAATATTCCAATGTCTAAAGACCAACATCCTGAAAATGTGGTGTAAGTGAGAAGTTTTAGTGTATAGAATTGTGTCAGCTATTCACAACAGCCAAGACATGGAGACAGCTGAAATGCCCGTCAACAGGTGAATGGATAGAGAAGATGTGGTCATATATACAATGAAGTATTACTCAACCACAAAAAATGAAATAATGCCATTTGCAACAACATGGGTGGACCTAGACATTATCATACTAAGTGAAGTAAGTCAGAGAATGACAAATATTATATATAATGGCTTATATATGGAATAAAAAATGATACAAATGACATCATCTATGAAACAGAAACAAACTTACAGACTTAGAGAACAGACCTATTGTTGCCAGGCTGGACTTGGAGCAGGGAAGGATGGATTGGGGGTTTGGGATTAGCAGGCAAACTATTTTATGTATAGGAAGGATAAACAGCAAGGTCATGCCGTGTAGAAAAAATTAACACAATACTGTGAATCAACTATATTTCAATAAAATAAAAAAAAAGAACATGTTTGTATTCAATTGGTTATAACAAAAGCCATGTAGTGGGGTGATTAAGAGCCCAATCTGTGAGACAGCCTGTCAAGGAGTGAAAGGCTTGTTAGCTGTGACTCTGGACAAGTAACTAATCTTTCTGGACCTCATTTTCCCCATCTATAAACTGGGGAAAATGATACCCCATACTTCTCTTGGTTATTATAAGGAGCAATTGAATTAACATATCTAAAAAGCTTATGGCAGCACCTAGAGCATAGTGAATGCACACAATCATTAGTGAATGCACAAAATCATTGGCTAGTAATATCTCCACCATTTAGAATAACCAAAGCATCTCAGAATAAAGTGCAGAGATTTTCAGTTTTTTTTTTCTTTCTGTTTTAAGGCCCAGATTATGTAAAGGATCACCTCCCTCAAGTTGCTCAGCACACTGCCTATATAGGAGAAAAGTGTCCTGCATTAGAGAAAACTGGAGATCTCAGATATTTATGGAGGCCTGCCTCGAATAGAAGCTTGCCAGCTAAATATAAACCTGAGTACGTTGGTGAAATTGGCTGGGGAATACCACAGTATGATTTTATCAACAAAACAAGGCTTCAGACTGGCTTTCACGTCAAGGTATTGCTCTTAAATTTATTCTCCTCCTCAAACATTTTTGTTTTCCTCCCAATGAATAGTCAGTTTATTTTTTCCAGACTAATTTTACAACTAATTTATTATTAAAGTTAATTGAAGCAGATAACAATACAGTCAAAATCAAGTAAACAGAAAAAGTTTTAAATATCTCTGTGATTTCTAGCCTTGGGTATAATGTCATAAGGACTCTTACTAGTAAAATGCTCCATCATGTATTGAAAAATCTGTATGTCAGATTTTCCAAGAAAGACTTGCTTTCAAATAAACACCAGGAACCATAAAAAGAAAAAACCTCAAAGTGACAGCTCTTTGGTATCCATAATATTAAATATGTCTCCAAGATTTCTTCACATTAAACTTTTTCACATCAAAGGTATTGATCTAGGAATCGGGAAAAAAAAAATCATATTTGTAGGGCTTCTGTTTCACCATCAGTACAGTAAATGATAACAGCTTTCACTTGCCCTCCCTACCAACTGTTTTCTGATTTAAATGCCTTCTGAGTTTGCTTCCATAGGAAATGTCATGTCCTAGACTTGTCCTTGAGAAGCAATGGGATTGGAGCTTGTGCAGAAAAATGAGTGTGTGGATAAAAGTACTTGGCTGCCATCACCCCCTTTAAGTCCCTTGAATACATGAGAGGAGGGGTGTGAAGAGAAGGAAGCCGGAGGCAATCCAAAAGCATTTGCACTTGGCTTTGGCATGCATCCAGATTCCCGTCTATGTGGTGACATTCACACACATTCCCCCGCTCTTGAGCGGCTTGGTGAGTGGGTGGTGGTAACGCAGCAGCCTGTGCTGGACGTCATCCACAAACCTAGAAACCAGCCCCAGAGATTCAAAACCCACTGTACGGATCATCGTGCCTTGAAGTCAGGCCATCGAGGGAGGGTAGCGGGAGGGCTCTGAGAAAGCGTGCCTTACCTCCTTCCGGTGATGCAGGCGTAAGCACAGCCAGTCTCCTCTGAAACAGGAGAGAGCACAGGTGATTTTAGAAGCAAAATCTGAGGATTCAGACTTTTTCCCAGGCAGGCCTTTGCCTGGAAATTGAATATGTATCGATGAGGCAGCAACAAATTGAACATGTATCAGTTGCCTTAAGTCCTCAGGCAGTTAGTGCAGCCTCATGTGCAAGCATGCTCCGTCTTGTCCGACTCTGCGCCCCCTTGATCTGTGGCCCTCCAGGCTTCTCTGTGCAGAGTTATCCAGGCAAGAATACTGGATCGGGTTGCCGTTTCCTCTTCCAGGGGATCTTCCCAACCCAGGGATCAAACCTGCATCTCCTGCTTTGGCAGGCAGATTCTTTACCACTGAGCCAGCTGGGAAGCCCACAGTGTTATACAGAATGGTTAAGAAAGGTAAAGCCTTTTCTGGACCAACCTTCGGCAGTACCCAAGAGTGGCTGGGAGCTCAGGCTTTGGGGTCAGACAGTGTGGGCTCCACTCCTGCCTCTGGTCAAGTTCAGCTCTGTGACCTCCCTGGGTCTCTGAGCCTCCTCTGTCCATGGTGGTGTTTGGGTGCCCACTTTCTGAGACCACCTGAATTCGTATCCCACTCCTGCCACCTCCCAGCTGTGAGAGACCTTGGGTCAGTTCCCCAAGAGTGCTGTGTCTCTTCATCATGAACCCGAGCGTTTGCCTTACTGGGCTGGCATGAAGAAATCTCTGCCAACTGCTGGGCACAGTGTCTGCCACACAGCAAGAAAAAGAAAAATGGAGAAAAATGATAAAACTATTGAAACAGGATGTAAATAAGTGGAAAGATATATCAAGTTTGTGAATTGAAAGATTCAATATCATAAAGACTGAATCATAAAGATTCTATATCATAAGTTTATCAGAACAATAAAAATAATTTCCATGTAATTATAATAAAAATCTCAACTTTTTCTGGAAAAAAGCAACTCTCTAGGTATCACTCTTGTTCTTTTTGTTTGTTTGTTTTTTGTTTTTTTAGTTCTACCAGCTTATTGCTACCAACCCATCTCCCTCCACCCTCATGCACACATGCTCAGTCTGTAACCCCATGGACTGCAGTCTGGGCCAGGCTCCTCTGTCCATGGACTTTTCCAGGCAAGAATACTGGAGTGGGTCATTCCTGTTCTGTTGTGAGTTATAAATACAAGGACGCAAGGAACGTACTCAGCAGTGCCCGGCATGAGGTTAACACCCCGATGTCAGTAGTTAGGACTGTGGTTTTGTATTTAATGTCACCCATCACCAGTGGAACAGAAAGAGGGCTCAGGTTCTTAAATTGCACCCTGTTCCACTCAGGCAATGACGACGAAGATCAGAAACCTGGTTCAATATCAAAAGTGATCACTAGTGAGAAGAGCATGCACCAAAAGCAAGGCAGCTGACTTGAAGAGAGTCCAGAACTTGGGTGGCCTTGTGGCTTGTCTCAGGAGATGCCCAGCTTTTGTGCACAGACCTCGAGTTGTCTCTGTCTTGAGTGTGTGGAGCTGTGAATCCAAGACCCACGTCAGCCACAACTTAGCCTTCCAGGAAGGGATTTATTCCATTTCTTTGGATGGAATGTCACAGACGGTTCTAATTCTCAGCCCTGCACGGCTGTGCGATTCTCATAACCTGGTGGGACTGCGTGTGAACCAGACAGAGCTCTCCCCACCCGGGGCTCATGTGGGAGCTGACCTTGTTTGGCACAGGCTGTGACAGCTTGTCAGCTGTGCCCCAGCCTTTGACAGTAAATGTTTTCAGAGATGTATCTGTCTTAAGTTTGATTTTTTTTTTGGCTGTACTCTGCGGCGTGTGGGATCTATTTCCCTGATAAGGGATTGAACCCATACCCTCTGCTTTGGAAGCATGGAGTCTTAACCACTGGACCACCAGGATTAAAGGATTCCTTAGACTTAAAACTTTATCATGAGAACAAAAAGATGCACTGAGAATCACTATACATACAGGTCAAGAACCACATACGATTTACCTACCAGTTAAGGCCTAGGATTTGTCACCAAGTTTGTTCATTCCCCCTCAACCCCCTGCCCAACCCCACATACAGGGCCTGGCTCCATTCCCCCTTCCCCTACATCAAGGACAGCCCCAGATTTGGACTCCTTATCCTCTAAAGTCTCCAGGCAGCCTCTTCCAATCAATGAGAAGAAAGTGACATTTGAACTGATACACATACACTCATCCTCTACACCTAGAAATGAGTCCCCAGTCACAAGTAAACTGTGAGTGCCTGTGCCGTGAATTCAAGTCTCCTCGCCAAGGAGCTGGACCATTCCTTCACGAGATGTAACCCAGGGCAGGCTCTCTGGCTGCCTGTCCTTGGTGGTCTTCGATCCCAGCCCCCAACGCCTGCATCTGTAAGAGTCCCACGAAGATGACACTTTGTTTCTGATTGCAGAGACTCTTCAGCGGCTCCCTCTGCAATAGCTCAGAACCTGGATGTTAATCACAAACTTTCATCTAGTGGGTTGCTACAGCCTGAACAGCTGCTCTTCCCAATTCACTGCTCCAGGTTCCTGTAAGACCGGCTGCTAAGAAAGCTCGGGCGCCTGCAGCAGACTTGGTGACATGCCTGGGGCAGCTGCTTCCTGCTCGGTCATGGTCTCTCCTCTTTGGAGGCACTGGAAATGAACTATAGGTCATCTGGGTTTGCGTAGAAAGATAACTTCCAGGTTGAGTGACACCTGAAAAATTTCCCCACATTTTCAGAGGTCAGTAAAAATCACAACATCAGGTCTCTCCTCTGGGTCTTCGTGTGTGTAGCTATTTCCTACTCTGGTGTGGGGCCGTAATGCAGGAATGATATATGTGTAATAAACCAATGAAGATCACTGCTTTTGTTTTTTCATAGATTTAAGAGCAGTACATTTTTGTTTTTTTTTAATGGAGCTGGTCTCTGCCAAAGTATATGTGTTGTTTATACAATAATATATGGAGACCAGGACTTGGTAGTCCTGGTAGTACCTTGGAGCCTGGTAGTCCAGTGGTTAAGAATCTGCGTTCCAATTCCAGGAGCTGCAGGTTCAATCCCTGGTTGGGAAACTAAGATCCCACATGCCTCGGTGCAACTAAACCTTTGCAGCACAATTGGAGAGAAGCCTATGCACCACAACAAAGACCCAAAGCAGCCAAAAATAAACAAATGAACAAGTAAATACATCAATATTTTTAAAAATATATGGAGACTATTGAAACCTTTGGTTTCAAACTGAGGAGCTTCTCTAAGTGGTTCATAGGTGGGCATGTATCCCACCCATGGACTTCCATTAATCCTGGTTTTGTCATATCTGTTTTCTGCTCATGCATCTGACCTCATGGCTAGATAATTTAAGACACTTGGTTTTCCCACAGAAACAATGTGATACTGAACTTGAGGACTGACTCTTCTTAGGTATAATCCCAATAACCATATTAAATCAATTAGTCATAACAGATATTACAGCCAATATATCATACAGTATCACACCTTGAATGATGTGTAGAAGGTAATAAAGAGAACCATGACATGTGAAACCATGGCTGATTCTTGTCAATGTATGACAAAAACCACTACAATATTGTAAAGTAATTAGCCTCCAACTAATAAAAAAAAAAAGAAAAAAGAAAGGGTGTATAATGGAGGAATGTTCTGTTATGAGATGGTTGACAAGCTAGTATTTGTGACAATGCAACATGCTGGGCTAGCCTTTCCATGTTTTTAGAAAGATAAGGAAGAATACTAAAGAATGTGTCCATATAAGTTAAAAAAAATAAATAAAAAAAAAAGAGAACCATGGGGATGCATCAGTAATATATGTATATAGGATACAGTGTGATATAATAAAAAGGAAACTTTTTTGAGGCTTTGAAACTCCTGCCTCTTATTTGACCCAAATTCCTGCGTTATGAACACAGAGGGCTTCTCTGAGTTTGATGGACATGGGAACAGACTTCTTGAGAGCTGTTCAATAAATTGATCCAAGGTTGGTTTCTTTATGAAACGTTTTTCTCACCATGAATTTCTTTAGA